ATCTCACTGCATTAAAAAATAGCTAAACTTTTGCTTTAGCTAAACTTTTTAAATTATGTTATTTTAAAAAAGGAGTAAAATAAAGAATATACTTAACTGTGCTTTGAACTTCTTTTGAAAATAATTTAATTAGTGATCTTTAAACATTTCTGTGGCACACGTAAGATCCTCTCATGGCACACTGGTTGGAAATCACTGATTTAAACCAACTAACTCAAGGTTCTCACTCAGGATTAAATGTACATATTCAGCTAAGACATTTCATCTCTTTGCCATGAAACAGATTCCTTAAGATAAATTTTATCTTTGAGTTTGTCTTTAACATGTAAGCAAAACTCTTACTGTATGTAGCTGTTTGAAAATTTACTTTTCATTTCCTGAAAATTGGCATGTACATTTTTCCTTTTTTTGAGACAGAGTCTTACTCTGTCGCCCTGGGTAGATAGCCCTGGCTTCATCAGTGCTCACAAAACCTCAAAAAACTGCTAGGCTCAAGCAATCCTTCTGCTTCAGCCTCCCGAGTGGCAGGGACTCCAAATGACCGCCACAACCCTGGCTAATTCTTCTATTTTTAGAAAGATGGGGTCTCACTCTTGCTCAGGGTTAAGCAGTCCACCCACCTCCGCCTCCCAGAGTGCTAGGATTACAGATGGCAGGTATGTTTTATAATATTAAAGTGCCATTTTGTTTCATTAAAGGGCTGGGATGGTAAGCTTGCAAGAAAAGAATCTATTTGAGTCTGTTCCATTAATGACAAATCTAACATCTGGTAACAAATATTTTTAAAGCACTTATCTTTCTTTATAAATGATCAGCTAAAAGTAATTTTATGACATTCTGTTATATAGATAAATGTGGCAATACTGGTTTTACTTTGAATATCCAGTTGCCCCATAGCCTCAGAGGTACAATATTTCATCTTAGAAACACAGTAATATTTCAAAGATGGTAGAAAACACATTTCCTTTAAACAGATAAATCAGGATAATTCCATTATACATTCATAAAATTTTTATTTTCAACAGCAGTTTTTCTAAAAGTAAAAACAAACTTGGGAACCAGAATTGTCTGTGGTCTCGACATGAATAATTGTTATGATTGGGAGGGAGTTTTAGTCACACCTAATCTACAGGTAGGTGAAGTCTCCCACTGAAGTTGGCCTTGGGTAGCCCTCATTAGAGGTCCTATCTGAGGTTTGGATCTACTTACTTTTAAAGGAATTTGAAGAAACTAGAGATACTCAAAAGAGAACAAAAGAAATGCTCAGAAGTAAAAAAAATACTCCAGAGGTCAAGAAAAGTGAACGTTTGGGGTGTGTAACAGGAGTATGGCAGATGATTTAACAGCTATCATACCTGACCCCTCCATGAAAAATGCATTTGACCTTGAATTAAAAAGAGCTGCTGCTGAGGCTGGATATGGTGGCTTACACCTGCAATCCCAGCACTTCAGAAGGCCAAGGCCAGGAGACCCCGATCTCTAAAGTAAGTCCCCCCAAAACGGCTTTGGGATCAGATATCTACCTGAGTAATCTCTTAGGCAAGGACAAGATCAAGCTCCAAGTCTCAAATTATGCCTCACAGATAAGACTATGCTGAGAAACAATGTGAGCGGCCTTTATAAACATGAATGTAAACGGCAGTTTAAGAATAATTACCGTGATGAAGGGGGCAAAGTCTAGTCCTCCCTCCCACCCTAATTTTAAATATGATAGGAGAGACTGCAAAGAACACACACTTAGAATAAATGAAAATATAAGGGCTCCAAGAGCAGTTAAATAAAAAAACAGCTATGGAGACCCTTCATCTCTAGATTCTTTCAGTTAGAGCAAATATCTTTCTTAGAATGTTTAAATAATTTTTCTTTTAGAAATAAAGGGAATGGAAATATCACCTGGCATTTAAATTAAACTTTTCCTCAACAAAGGAGTTTTTACATTCTCTCATTTTCAGTGACCCCTAAGTTACCTACAACTGTGCAATTCTCTGAATCATATTTACGTTCAATATGAGAAAAATTTCCAGAGTTGAGTTCCACACTCAATGTCTTCCCCAGGAAACGTCATCTACAGCAGTTATCTGCTGGTGCACATGCATCTAGGAACAGAAACAGATCTCCACCTTTGAGAGCCTCACAAAATCCGCCCCGGCCCCTCATACCGTGTTAAATAACCAGGGGAAATGAGCAAACAGTGGCAGACAAGGGACCAATTACACCTTTAGGGAGTTCTAGGGTATACGATAAAAATTACACCTAACATTTACTGAGCACTAAACACATTAGCATATGTAATTCTCACCACAGCCCTCTAAGGCACGTATTATTAATATCCCTTTTTAAAAGAAAATGAGACACAGGTAAAGTAGCTTACCCACGGTCACACAGTGAGTAAGGAACTACGGCAGGCTATCAACAGGACTCTGACTCCCAAGTTCATCCTGTACCCACGAAAACACTGAGACAACAGCCCCAATTTCCTGAGAAATTCTTTCGGTGTCTCACCCAAAGGAAGGACTCATGTTAGAAACCTTCACATACATTAAAAAGATAAAGCGGTGCTACAGCAAAATCCCTAGCGAAAGGTGAGAACGAATACACAGGTTATCTGCATTACACGTGGGGCGGGCTAATGTTTGACCCTGAGGGGAAAACAATCAACCTAGTAAGCAGCACTGTTTAGGCCGACAGCTATATCCGCGGTCTGATTCCTGAACTGTAGCCCTCTAGCGATGTTCACGATGAACGGCTGCACGTGTGTGGGCATATGGGCCTAGAATACGGCGTCTCCACATCCTGGAGGGCCTGCGAGAAAAGGCAACTAGCCACACGAATGGGACTCGGGCAAAACAGACTCTGACACATCTCGGGAACAGTTAATCGTCACAGGAAATCCACTTCCAAAGCTGCACTGTTACCTCTTCTTCAAACTTTGGCTTGCCAATTTTCCTAATCAAAAAGGAAATTACTAATCCCCAACACCCCCACAGCAATGAAAAGTGAACAGTCTTGTAAAAAGAGCCACATCATGATTCTTCAAGATTGACCTTGCCGTCTGAAAGCACTATTACGCCAGGGAACTTTTTCCAAGTACAGACACTCTGTGAACAGCCAAATAATTGTGTGCAGCGAACTGGCATTACTCCAGCCCGAGTCCCGGGCACAGGGAGCAGAGTGGAAGTCACTTGTAACAATCAGCTATGAAAAAACTTCACTAGTCAAGAGAGGAAGCTGAAAGCTGTTTACACAGGTCTGCAAAAGCAGACTGATTCATTCTTTTTGTTTGTTGTTGTTTGTTTGTTTTTTTCCTTGAACCAGCTAGACTGATTTTACAAAGAGGAGCCAGGAGCCCACTGTATATACCTCTCTCGGTAATGCAGCACAAGTTACTTTCAAGATACGTCATGGTGGCTTAGTATCTGTTTTCCACCCTTGACTTATTTCCTAAACTGAAGTCTGGATTTATCTATTAAAAAAAGACAACTGTAATAATTGCTTTGGTGCCTGAAAGGCGAGTTGTTATTAAGAGTTGAGGTGAAAAAACCTCACTCAGGAGTTGAGCATCAGAGTCTGATAACAAAACAAAAACCAAATTAGCCTCTCCCCCAGAAAGCCAAGGCCATTTTCCCAGATCCACCTCTCCAAGCCAACCGAAAAGTTACCAGCTGTTAAACCTATAACGAAGCCGATGATCTGGGGTCCTCCACTAACTCGCCACCAAAAAGAGGGAACACACACAGACACACCAGCTCGTGGGGTGCGCGTAACCCCACGTTCTGGCCAAAATGGGGTTCACACGCTCTGCGTGGAAACCGCACCCCCGAGTCACCCTGCCTCCCAGGTTAACAACACTCAATAACCGTGGCTAGGGAATGCGGCCTAAAAAAAGGGAGAGAGAGAGAGAAGAAAGGAAAGGAAGGAAGGAAAGAACACAGCCCTGTAATGGCCTCTGCTCTCCGGCGCCCTCCGGGTGGCTGCCGCGGTGCCGTCAGAAGCCCCGCGGACCCCGACGGCCGCGCAGGTGCGCGCCGGGTCCCGCCGCCCCTCTCGCCCCAACACGCCCGCTCCGCCGCCGGATGCGGAGCCGGGACTCGGGAGGGACAGAGTCGCCGGGGTGCTGCGACCTGCGCGTGGCCCCGACTCTGACCCCCGCGGGCGCGGCCTCACCTTTGCGCCGCAGGTACTGCACCTGGCGCCCCCGGCCCGGCCGCTCGCGCAGCTCCTGCAGCGCCTGCAGCTCGCGGGAGTCGGCGCGGCCGCCCAGGAACACG